CCGTCCCGCCCCAAGGTGCTGCCCCAAGCATGTGTTTGGTGGGTTGGTGCCTGGAGCTGGCCCCTATAGCAAAAGTCTGTGTTTGTTATTTTTACTTAGCATTAACCTTTTGTGACCCTGACCCATGTCAGATGACTGTCTTACTACTAGTACTCCTGTGTGTCATACACTTACGGGAGGACTTATTGAATGAGAGGAATTATAATGAAACTAGTTCTGCTAACCCTGCACATTCAAAAATCATTACTCAGGCCTCCAAAATCATGAGATTGTCTTAAAATAATATATTTTGGAATCTTTTTATTTGCTTTCCAATGCTGGAGCCTTTAGAGTTCATGTTTTCAAGCTTTTCTCCACAAGTTTTCTCTGGGAGGGCTAGCAACTGACTTAAAAAAAAAAAGAAAGCTGAAATTCTCATGTAATTGCATGAATCCTGAAGCTGGCGCTTTAAGAAAATCACCAAGTATCGCTAGTCTCGTGATAAAGTCATGCAAGATGCCAACACTAGAAACTCATAATCTGATGTACTTTACCCCAATCGAAAAGTCAGACTGGAAAGGGGAAGGAAGTCACAGAACAAACCTTTGCTGGAAGCTTTGGGGTGCTGAAAATTGTGAGGCACTGGAGTTCAGATAAACCACATCGGGTTAGTTTGTAACTTTGGGATTTCTCCCTCCATTGACCTTCTCCCTCCCAACATGGAATGGGGGATAAACCACCTTCACAGCAGCACTCTTCCTTTTCCCTGCAGAGGGCTCAGGAGAAGTTCAGGGACAGGCCATGGGAGGTGTGGGGGAAGGGGAGAGGGAGGGGGGCGCCAAGCAACAGTCTGAGCCAGAACACCTGGTCACTTCTGTGGGAAGGCAAAGCCTGGCATTAAAGAGGAAGAAGCAGAGGAAACTGTAAGGGGAACCTTATTCCCACGGAGGGGTACAATTAACTCCACAGGTAAATTGTTATGTCTGACTAAACTAACTTACCATTTAAAAGAAAGCAAACAAACTTGTAACCATTTCCAAAGTCAAATCCCTACAAACTACTTCTGCAGAATCTTGTTCAATGTAACAAACCCATCTCGTGGGGCTACCTGGTACAAGTGACCAAAGCAAACTCAACAGGATTTTCTATTTAACTTCACCCCAAAATCACATGCTGTTCTGTCCAATATGAGATCGTTAAATTTATTTTAAGGCTGATTGAAATCACTAGCAGAAATACTCATGATGTACTGTATTTGCCTTATAATATCAAAATGGAGCCTGACATGACTAAAAATTAACCAACTTCAGAAATGTCAAGTATCTGCATTTTGCAGTCCCTCCACTAACAGCTGTAGGTTTTCATCTTTGCTAAGGATTTGGCCAGTGTGCTGAAACACATGCAGCAACCTGTGCTTCAGAACCAAACTCTCTATACTTGATAAGCACATATGTTCTGTTATGTTAAAATAAATAATATAGTGATAATAATACTTTGTCCTTCCACAGTGTATTTCATCCAAAGATCGCCATATACTGCGAGGTACTATTTCCATTTCACAGATGAGCAAAAAGAAGTGACCACAGTGTTATTTTATCATACAGAGAGAGAGAAAGTGGTAGAATCAGTCAAGGCTGTAACTCAGAATTTCTGACATCAATTCCTCCTCTAACCACTCAGCACTAGTGACTCACATCTGGCCAGGAGAACAAATGTTGTAGAAAATCCAGACTAAACTGTGCACAAAGTGTTGTTGTCTCTGCACTTCTCTGAATTTGTACAAAGTATGCATGCGATTGCTAGATCCATGTCAGCGGAACTTCCCAAGTAATTAAACTATAGGCTTAGGCTCAGATGCAGTGTTTCTTACCATGAAAATTTTATCTAAATGATTCATGAGAAATAGCCTAGTAGCATGGAAGCAAATCAGCATGGGAGACACTCAGGAAAATATTCTTGGTTCTGGGCTAGTGAAACTCAAGAGCATGACAGAGTTTGAGAACCCAAGTATAGCTATGCACATGACAACCAACTGCTCTACCGGCGCTTCTGCTAGCCAATTTCTAGCAGTACTAGCTGTCTTACGGCTTGTCTACACTGGCAATTAACAGCGCTGCAACTTTCTCGCTCAGGGGTTTGAAAAAACACCCCCCTGAGTGCAGCAAGTTGCAGCACTGTAAAGCACCAGTGTAAACAGTGCCCCAGCGCTGGGAGCCGCACCACTCATGGAGGTGGTTTTTTTACAGCTCCCGGCACTGCGCCGTGAGAGCTCTCTCCCGCCGTGAGAGCTCTCTCCCGGCGCTGTGCCGCAACCTCACAAGGCACATTAAAGGCACTTTAGCATTGCCAGTGTAGACTAGCCCTTAGAGAAAGGTCTTATTCTGTGTTCTTGGTCAGGAAGACCGTTGCTGTTATGGCAGTTGCCTAAGATAGGGAAGAGGGCTTTGTCTAGACTAAGATTGAATGGTGTGCAGTTAGAACATGCTAGCTAACACATTTTAAAAGCCCAGTGTAGACAAGGCACACAACCTGTAATATGTGCTAAGCTGGTCACATGAAAGCTTAGGAGGTGCTTTGGCTTTTACTCAACCAAGTTTAGCACATGTTAAAGAATGAAGTGTCTTCTTGACAGTAGACTTTTCAAACACGTAAGCTATGGCAGCGGTTCTCAACCGGGGTACACGTACCCCTCGGGGTACACAGAGGTCTTCCAGAGGGTACATCAATTCATCTAGATATATACCTAGTTTTACAACAAGCTACATAAAAACCCCTAGCGAAGTTAGTACAAACTAAAATTCCATACAATGACTAGTTATACTCTCTATATACTACACTGAAATGTAAGTACACTATTTATATTCCAATTGATTTATTTTATAATCATATGGTAAAAGTGAGAAAGTAAGCAATTTTTCAGTAATAGTGTGCTGTGACACTTTTGTATTTTTATGTCTGATTTTGTAAGCAAGTTATTTTTAAGCGAGGTGAAACTTGGCGGTACACAAGACAAATCAGACTCCTGAAAGGGGTACAGTAGTCTGGAAAGGTTGAGAGCCATTGAGCTAGGGTGATCAGATAGCAAGTGTGAAAATCAGGACAGAGGGTGGGGAGGTAATAGGTGCCTATATAAGACAAAGCCCTAAATATCGGAACTGTCCCTATAAAATTGGGGTATCTGGTCACCCTAATGTTAGCTAATATGTTTCAACATATCTTAAATCTTAGTCTAGACAAGACCTAATGGTAAGGAAGAAAAATGGCACCAGAATGAATGTGATTGGACAAAATCTAAGGAAACTGGCTTAGCTTTGGAGTCCTAATCAGGTGTAATGAAGAGAGGTCAGGTGCACATAAACTGCAATTTCCACTGGTGGGGAGGGAAGCTAAAGTAGTCGTGAATTTAATGTATTTTTAAAATACATAGATATGGCATATTCTTCCTCTTGTGAAGATTATAGATCTGCCACAGATGGAGGAATCCAGGCACTGTTACCTAAATAAATTCTCTCCCTCTGATAGTTACTTACACAGATAGTATACACACAGTGACCAAAAATTGCAAACAAGGTGCCTAAACATAGGCTCCTAGATAAGAAGCCTGATGTTTAGTGATGCTTAGCATCTGCATCTGTCAATAAAAAGTTAAGCTCAACAACTCTGAAAAATCAGGCTTGTATTTTCCAAACCCTTGATCTCACCAATGACTCAGTGCCAGCAGACCCTTGCATGAAGTCATTCACAGAATCTGACCCTATATAATGTGGAATTGGGAGCCCAACTTTGGGCATTCTTTGAAAATCCTAGAGGAAACAAGGTGCAGTGAGCTTTTACTTTGATATAGCTAGGTGAGGTCAACCCTATACCTCCAACCAGCAGTTGAGTTCACCTAATTACAGCACAGTAAAAACTACCTGTATCTTGTCTGGACTAAGATTTTACAGCAGGATAGCTAATGCATGACTTATCGCTCTTTTTTTTTTTTTTTTTGGTATTGAAGACAAAGCTGTTAACTTCAGTGGTACCACATATATCCACATTAACAGATCCCAATGCAGGATCATGACTATACTATGCATATAATGTACATACAGGTCTCTAAAATGCTTTAGAACATTAATTTGGTGCTGTATTTTAACTAAAAAGTTTGCATAGATGCTTATATTGATTTTTAAATTGGATACATAAGAACAGTTCCTATAAAATGAGTGTGAAGTCTATGAACCATCATGTGGGCCAAATTCACAGCTCAGATTCACAGGAACAATGTTGATAAAAACCAGCTGAGAATCTGGCCTTGAGTCTTTAACTGACATGCTAAGACCTAGAAGTGTTGAGGTTATTTAGCACTTGCTCTGTTTTTAGGAGAAAAATACTTTGGAATTAGTTCCAGTCTCATTTTTACCTCTTTCAGCGAGCTCAAAACACTTGAGAACCATAAAAGTTCAAATCAAAATTACACAAAAAACTTCTATATTATACACACCACAAAACTAGCTTTTTTACTGAGCAATTCCTTCTCTCTTCACCTCAGTCTCTCAGAAAGACATTAACTCAATATGAACAGTTGAAATTATTACTGCAAATTAAATTACTATTATCATTATTATCACTATGTATGCTATTTCTCAGTACATATAAACAAATCACAGAGAGATTTATATAATTTTTAAGAAGAACTGTATTGCTTTCAATGAAAGGGCTCCTCTCCTGTAGGAGTATAACCATCACATGTTACAGTCAAAGGATCAACAACCTGTGAACAAGAGTTCACAATCACAGCAGCAACACCTACCACAGATTTGGGTTTGCTGATTGCCACCAGACTGGCCAGAAAATCTTCATCATGCAGCTGGCTAAATATATGGGAATTGTAGGCCACCACTATGGAGATTTCTTCCATCATTTTGTCAGCAAGCTCCCAGCCGGTTAGCAGCAGCAGCAGGTTCACTATCCAACAATGAACCTTATCTCAGTTCTTTGTGGGTGATGGTCGCCCACACCCACCTGAAGAAGCTAGAGTGGGTGGAGCATCACAAGAAAAACCCCAACCAACCAAAGCAGCTCCTGTATGTAGTTTGTCTCTTGAGGTGTGTGTGTGGGGGGGGTCTCTTATCTTTACAGGAAATGTGTATTATAAACGCCCGCTCACATTCTCAGAGAAAGTAGAAAAGTAATTTACTGAAGTTTTTTCAAATCCTAGGAAACTATTTAATTCTCTCTGTTCATCCCAAAGTTCTTTGTAATGATTCACTCTTTAAGTCCAATATTTATCCACAGGCAGATGATTCTTCTTGTTGGGGGAGTTTGGTTTTCTACTGAATTCTTGTTTTATGCTTATTCTGCAGATTCAAAGAAAAGGAGTGTATAAATGACCTCTCGTATGCCCTCCATGGAATTTTTCACAAGTTTATAAATTTATCCTCAGAAATACTTGAAAAAGTAGTCACTTTCTTCTGCACAGTTTTAGGTTGTTGTTTGTGTCATTTAGGGTTTTTTGGAAAACCTGTACTAAAATTAAAGCACAAGTAGGGCTGCTACAGCAACGATATCAAATTACAAGCAAGAAAGAGTCCCAGCTATGGTGGAGATTTAACAGATGTTAGTTTCCTTTGCAACCCAGAGAGTAAAACTGTCACCTCAAAAAGGGAAGAATATGATGAAAAAATCAAGACTCTTTTATCTAAACTATCTATACTCTAAAAAGGAAATATACATTTTCAAGCAAAAGAAAACCAATAGAAATCCACATTATTTTCCCCAGGATTGATTGTCCTTAGTATGAAATATTCAGGACTTCTATTGCTTTTAATTACAAAAGTGATAGGGTCTCAGACAGACAGTGTACAGTACCCCTGTTGGTTGCTTCCCGGAGAATCAGTCTTGTCAAATCATTTGTTTAAACATCCATATGACAAAGAAAAACTGCCAAAACAGAAAAAAATAGTTTGGAAAATGATAAAGAAATTGAAAGTTAAACTATAAATGAAAATATGGTTCTACAGAAAAGTATGAATTGATTTAAAGAAATAAACAAAACATATCCTCTGAGAAAAACTCCTTTAAGCTCAGTTTTACAAGGAAAGTAATCACTGCCAAATGAACACAGAGTAAAATTATATCGTCTGTGCTTCTATTTAGCCCCATCTATTACATTTTTACCCCCCTCTGGTAGCATTTTGTTCCAGCGATGAAAACTCTGACCTGTGCAAGAAATGTAAATGGATTCAGTTGGGTGTTTTTCCCCAAATCAGAGTGAATGCTGGATACTGCAAACCTTACAGAGATTTCCAGTCCGAATTGCCAGTAGCATATTGTCACACGCTTGCTTTCCAGAACAAACAGGATAAGAACAACGTTGCTCTTCTCTTTTTCCTGTTTTTCCTGAAGTATCTTTCAAAGATTACATGCGTATTTAAATAGCACCACGTGCTATTTGCATTTGAATAGGAAACTTGAGCGACAGCTGTAGTGTTCAGGATTAAAAACCAACATCTCTTTTGCTTAAATAGGGGAGGAAAAAATTACATGTTATTGCTAGGAAACAGAAGAGTGTTCTAATAGGCTTATGGCAAACAAAAATGAGGCGCTTGAGGTGAAATCCTTGAGATTAAAACAGTTTCTGATCATGTTTAACCCTTGCAGGAGAAAGAAAAATATTTTCACTTGAAATTTATCTGCAATGCAGCTTTTGTGCTGTATATTTCTGCTTTGCTTAGATGAGGTTGTCTTATAATATTTCTTGTACTTGTTTCCCTCAGTAGAGGCAATTCAGATTCAAAAATTAGAGTGATATCCAGTAAACAATTTGTGTATCAAGGAGTCCAGCAGATAGATCATACCTTGTATTCTAAAATCTTCTTATATTTTCAGAAGTGCTGTAACTTGTACTGGGAACTTCTTCACGTATGTTCTCTTCTGCTTCATGGCTTCAGGTTTTTCTTATAGAAACACTTGCTGGCACTGAAAGCAGTTCTTCCTGCATTCACATTTCTCTCAGTCATGGTGACTCAGTGTTTGCGGATAGGTATCTGTGTATGAGGTGTGCTGACAAAGACACCTGTTGTAGGTGGTGAAGAAAGAAACTTCCCATAATTCCACACTCCTTGCTGGCAGCTGTTCAGAGGCTGCAAACAGGGACTGAAATTACATTTGAACAGTCATGTATGTACCGAGGGAGCGAGCACACAGTACAACAACAAGCATTCCTACGTTAGTGAGAGAACAACTTAATTCTACAAGGGTAGGGGGTAGAGAATGCAGATATGCAAAATAATACCCAGCTCAGATCATTAAATCCTTCTAGTCAACTTTTTGCTGGTCAGAGATTATGGGCCAGATTTTACTCTCATTTTACAGCAGAACAGTTCACTGACTTAAAAGGGTATTTCTTCAATCATGTGAGCTCAGTCGAATTAGCCTGATGTGACTGAAAAGTCCGTTAGAATGCAGGCAAGTTGTGTTGACTGGCTGGGTTGTAGCCCAGGAAGAGCCTAGGCTGCAACATGGCCAGCACCTGCACCTTAACAGGGCTTTTCAGTCATGTTAAGATAACCCAATTGAGCTAACACAATTAAAAACACAACCTGTCTGCCTATCAAGACATGGCCCAGAGTATCATTTCACTGAAACTGAGAAGAGGAGATATGCCTTTTCTACAGAAACAGCTCACGATTTCTTCAAGTCTGCCCACGTGTTGTCTGATCTTGAATACTGAGCCCCTCAGCAATGTGCAGACACGAGCTGCCTCACGTTCTTCCCCCCTCCTTTGTAACAAATGCTGCTGCTTTGCATAACATCACACAGGTATTGCAGTAGCAGTCATCAAGGAAGTGGTAAAGCAGTTTTCCTGTGTCATTTGTATTTCAACCAGGTGGTCATGGGGAGGCAGGAGGGCAATCTTAGCCAGCCAACAGATGGCTAGGACAGCAGCACAAGACTACACTAGCTAATATAACTGACCTGAATCACATTTTACACATTTGGAGGAAAAGAAAATATGAATGGAATATTACTGAATTTTGCATAACATTTGCCTTTATGCAGCAAAATTCTGCTTACTCACCCGATAAGATTCCCTCCCACCCTACCTCCGGCAACGTCTTATTGACATATGACAAGGGACCTTTCCCCCAAATGACTGAAAAGCATCATTAGAGAGACAAGGTGGGTGAGATAACTTCTGTTGTTGAAAGAGACGTGAAAGAGAGTGCAGCTAGAAAGTGTGTCTCTTTCATTACCCACCTCGTCTCTCTAATATCCTGGGACCAACATGGCTCGACCATCACCGAAAAGAGTTATGTATGCTGAGCAAGGGCCCTCTCCAGATTCTTGCTAAGCATTCACTACAGCCACTCCTTTTATGAAGCAGAGTTTGGAGTTTCCTTCAGTCACTCCAAGTTGGATTTCATGTGAACTTCCCAGATTCATTAACATAACAGACTTCAGATAATTAAATTCAAACCTGTTTGTATTGCACTTGAAGTGCTACTTGGCAGCGTTTAAGAGATTTTTGCATAGTTTTTTCAACCAATACAGGATGAACAATGGTACTATCATACCCCTTTCATAACTTCCCCACCATGTAATGAAAGGTAAGATTTGTTTCAAATGCAGCCATTAAAGTGGAAAACAGCTGATTAGAAGAGAAAGCTTGTTTATCCCACATTAAAGGTCTACCCTGCTCTTTACCCCAAGAGGATTACTGGCAATTAAGAAGCCAAAGGAGTGGACCCCCCCCCCAAATCTCTCTCTTAATTTGCATAGGGAGTAATAAGAACAGGAGTACTTGTGGCACCTTAGAGACTAACAAATTTGTTCGTCTCTAAGGTGCCACAAGTACTCCTGTTCTTTCTGCGGATACAGACTAACACGGCTACTACTCTGCAACCTGTCATAGGGAGTAATATTACTCCCCCCCCCCCGAGCTAAATATCACAGAAAAACCCCTCAGGACTATAAAATGGCTGATCAAATTTGGGCAATCCCAGACAACACTGCTGCCCTCCAGAAAGAGTTTAATCCCACCCTCTTCATTCCGAATGCCAGACCAGTCTTGATTTAGGTGTTAACTACCTCAAGTTAAGCGATAATCAATACAGTCCTAAGTAGACATACCTTTGAGAAGGAATATTAACCATTAAATAAGTAACTGTCTGGAAACGATCATAGTGAAGTCTCATATTCAAATTATGAACTAGTTCAAATTTTAAGAGAAACAATGATTTAGGAACCTCTGGGGATTTTCTGTCTTTACACAAACATTAAGTATAATGTGATATTCATGGAGAGTGTCATATGTAACTTTATAGCAGTGGTGTATACTGCACCAGATGCTTATTGCTGGGCAAATGCTTTTCACTTTTTACTTTTAAGTGTCAGATAACATGGCCTAAATTTTTTAAAATGTGTGTGTGTGAGCACCTGAGCTGTGCCTGCAAAAATCCCGCCCACATGTGTACAAATCAGGGTTGTACATGCAGTAAGATATGTATGCATGCAAATCCTTGACTTTTGCAAGTGTATTGCCTTTCTTGTAACTTAGGTGCAGGCAAAATTGTGCACTCTATTTTACAGATTTAAGCCAGCAAACCAATATTCTTTAGACAGTTACTGTTATTCTTCTGGTGGTAGCAGAGGTTAGCAGGATTGGAATTGCTGAGGCAGGGCCTTTTCCAGTAAGCCGGTGACTCTGGAATTCTCTCCCCCTCAATATAAATCTGTAGCAAGGTTTAGAGAAAAGGTCAAAACTTTTG